CATGGTAACATGTACAACTGGATCAAGAGTTTTGTCTCAGACAGACAAATCAGGGTTACAATCGGCAAATACCTCAGTAAAGAGACCGGACTGGATAACGGAACTCCCCAGGGTTCCGTTATAAGCCCAACATTGTTCAATATTATGGTGAATGATATCAAAGAATATCTCGGAAAAGATATTTCGCTTGCTACGTTTGCGGACGATAGCACCCTGTGGACCAAGGGTAGTCTATATTCGCAGGTGCAAAAACGTATGCAAGGTGCCTTGGACGGATTCACCTCTTGGGCAAATGATTGGGGATTTCAGATCTCGTCACCGAAAACTGTAGGTATGCTAGTATGCAGGGATCCCGAGGTCTCCCGGATGTCCCTGCAGCTCAATGGTCAGTACATAGAATTCAAAGACGAAACCAAGTTCCTTGGTGTAATCTTTGATAGGAAAGTGACATGGCGACCGCACATCAAATATGTGGTAACACGTACTCAGCGCATCCTGAACCTTATGAGGAAAATAACGGGACGTGAATGGGGAGCAAACCGAGTTGCCCTCATGATGATCTACCGTTCTCTAATACGTCCTGTATTAGATTACGGCTGCATGGCTTTCTTAAATGCAAGACCCGTTACACTAAGCCAGTTGGACACGATACAATACAAAGCCATTTGTATTACCACAGGCTGTGGCTTAGGTGCCAAGCGCGAGTCGTTACTACAGGATGTCGGCGAACTCCCTCTGGCATTGGGCCAAACTAAGCCGATTGGGTGAAAGGTGTCCAGCCTTAAACGAAATCTCGAGGTTCAAAAGAGTCAGGGACCCCACCAAGAAGTCATACGGCCAGGCAGTCGGCGAAATGGTTAGGGACTACGGTCTCGATAAGCTCACCATTAAAGGTATAGAGGATACGATCAGGGCCCCCTGGACCCTCCCAGTACCCCCGGTAGATACCACCCTCGTCCTGAGGGTAGACAAAGGGAATAACCCATTGGCGGCCAAGCATCTCTCTTTAGCTCATATTGAGGATAATTGGTCAAAATGGACTCACATTTACACGGACGGATCGCACAACCCCGAGAACGGTACGACGGGCTTCGGGATTTATATCCCGGGGAAAGAGTTACAGGTAGCAAATAGACTACCAAATATGTGCTCTGTGTACACCTCGGAAATGTATGCGATCAAAGAAGCCGTAGTGTGGATATCCAGCCAAAGAAATGCAAACTATGTTGTCCTCAGCGACTCACTGAGTAGTCTGGAATCTATAAGAAATCAGAGGTCGGACGCCCGTCCCGAACTGCTGACCCAGATCTACCTAGCGTACGAAAAGTCTCTGGCAAAGGGCAACCAGATAGTATTGACATGGGTCCCGTCGCATATCGACCTTAAGGGGAACGAAGAGGCGGACAGGCTCGCCCTAAAGGGGTCACAATTGGAGAAACCTAGCGTCGAGCTCCCTTATAGCATCAACGAATTTAAAAGCATGGTCGAGTTACGCGTCAGCTCTGAATGGGAAAACTCCCTCGTGGAACTCGACACCTTTAGATTCAGATCCGATGAGTCCTTAAAGGCTAAGTTATCAGTAAATCATCCCAGCAGGAAAATCTGCCGGTTAATAACAAAGCTGAAGGTGAAAGAAACACTCAGATATCGCACATTTAAGCCTATAAGGTGCAGCTGTGGCTCAGACGTGTCTCCTACCCATATTCTAGTAGACTGTGCTCGCCTCTCAGCTGAAAGGAAACCTCTCACGGATAAACTGAGTTCCCTTAACACGGCTCTCAGTGTTCCGAACTTACTTTTTCCAAAAGTAAGCAAACACGAAATCTATGAGTTAATCTACGAATTCGTGTGTGAGATCGGTATCATTGATATGATGATGTGACCCCGCAGAGACGAAAAGAGTGTTCTACTCTGTGAAGATTTGGGGGCCCACCCCAAGACCCAACGGACGGGATCCATAAGTGATCATCCCGAGGGCTACTGCTAGTCGGACGTCCCTAAGTGAAGGGATGTCGGGTATCCTGTGGGGGGCCGTTTTTTGTCTTGGTTCTGGTCCGGAGGCATCGCTGCACCCCTGAACCTAGGTCGGACAGGCGGCGGGGCCCTTGGGCCCGGCTGACAGTCCTACCTACCCCTACCCACCCAAAACAACGATCGAAACATTTATGGCCAAGCGGACCAGACTGCGCCCGCTCGCCACCCCTTTTCTACCCCAAAACTTTCTCCGCTCCTTTCGATGAGATTTTTAACTTGGGCATTCCCTGCTAAGACACTATGTCTCAAATTAAACTGGACCAAAGCTTAATCCATACGGCTTCCTCCAGTAAGTTTCCTAGGAAACATCCTTGTCTACGATATCACCTTAGGTGGAAGTGGACGTAAAACCCCAGAAACGAACGAAAAGAGATAGCAACAATCATCGCAAGTGAAACCTTAACTACAAGATGAAATAAGCTGCCTTAAAGACTTCACCCATCCTACCTAAAACATGGATTAGAAAAGTTGATGATGTATTTGCCATTTTGGAACTAGGTCAGAATCCACAACACCTTCATGAACACCTCAACAGTATCCACCCTCGAATGAAATTTACAGTAGAATTAGAAAAAGACAACCAATTACCATTCCTTGATGTATTAGTAAACAACTCCGCAGATTACCTAAAAACCACTGTTTACCGCAAGCCAACCCACACTGACCAATACATACATAATAGTTGATTTATTTAATTCTTAATCAGTGTGTGTTAGTGATGAGAAGTGTCTGTGGTCATAAGTGTATGACCCCCCCCCCCCTTTATTTCATCTTGTAGTTAAGGTTTCACTTGCGATGATTGTTGCTATCTCTGACTTTCATCTCATCTTATAGTTATGGTTTCATATAGTTAATTAGCGTCTTGATGTTACGGTTTCATGTAGTCAATTATCCTCTAATCTCTTCCTTTTGTATTATTAGTAGTCAATTATCCTCTATTCTCTTCCTTTTGTATTATTAGTGTTATTCTTTCATCATGTTAATTCATATAACTTCTTTGATCTTGATAATGCGTTGTTGATAGTATTGATTATTCTGTTAAATGGTTTCCACTTGTTACCTATATATTGTACCACATTTATTGTTGATTATCATTATTTGCTTGAAAACGATATCTGTATGTGTATCGAAACGTAGCATGTTAATAAATTCAGAAGTAGTATATCCATATAAGTGTGTTTTATTTTTAGATTGATACACTATCCTAAGAAACAGTAGTGTGTGTATATCCTTTAAAGCGAGAATTTCAAATTTTTCTAAGAAAGTCAAAACGTAATTATTTCTGTCTTTTGTTCAATAGGTTGTCAACTCACAATTATACGATCATAGGTGTCATTCTCACACTTAAAACTCATTTACACAGGAAATAATAACACAATTACCTCCCTTGTTTTCTATTCTCCAACATGGAGTGGCTTTTTTCAAATGTTTGAAAATGAAGAGGAAAATGATATTTTTGCCACTTTCTCAGCTGGCAATAGTGAATTATAGGATTAATAGGATTATTCTTTAACAAGGTAGGACTGTTTATGGATACCATCTATTTTCAGGCTTTATTTTAATAAATTTTAAAAATATAACTTAAAAATTTGCAATTTCCGCTTTAATGGTCACAGTTTTAACACCACACACCGCAGTGGTCACTTACGGCTGACCACCGGGTCCATTCACTTGAACTGAGATATTTGTTGTTTATTTCTTGCAATGTCTGTGTAGTTTGTCTTGTCGGTGGGTTTGTTTTATCGGGCTAAGTAGGTAAGACGCTGGCTCGCTAGCATGGACGTCGGATATTCGATCCCTGCATTGACCGAGAATGTTCATCCAGATTTTCCGGCGTGGTTCCTCCTTGTTAGTGATGCAGGACGGAGGGCCTGACAAGGACAGCTGTCTAGTCGTTCGGACGGGGTGAAAAACCGAGGTCCCGTGTACACATTGGCGTGCACGTAATAGATCCCTTGAAGGTTGGAATTCGATAGGCCGTAGTGCCGCTGTACGGGCAAAATTTCCCTCATGGCACACTGTAAGGAGCAAAACAGTAGGCCGTTAAACCCCATTTCATTTCATTTCTGTGTTTTATCGGTTTCGTTTTGCGTGCGTGCATTGTACGCACTATTAATGACTAGTTCCTTTTGGATCGATCTCTGACCGTTTCTATTCGCCCCTTTTAAGCTGAAATATGAAAATACCGCCTTTCCTACCTCTGTTCTGGGGCTATTTTACTGGAAAATAGATAATAGTGTTGAGTTATTATAAATTTGTGTCAGATGTGGCGAAAAATGATTCCTTTTGGCGAACAAAAAAATTAAAGAATCACGGTGAAAATTAGAAGGTAAGGATTCCAAAAATAGCCCTAGAACAGAGGTAGGGGAGAGCGGTATTTTCAGATTGCAGCTTAATAGGGACGGATAGGAACTGTCAGAAGACAGCGTCCGATCACAGACCGTTCTTGATGTAATTGTATTAGTGACATACCATTACACCGGTCTAATAAACTATGTACATATATAATAACTTAGATCTGTTTGTTGCACATATTTCCATTTATAAAATACATATATATATATAAAGAAAAAAAAATGTTCAGAAGTAAACAATATCAATTTTGCAGTGATACAGAGTGAAAAAAATCATTAATTTTGAAACAATTCCCATCAAAGTCAAACTTTAGGATTTTCCTCTTATGAAGGAATAGAGATTTACACTACGTATCTGTGCCTGCAGAAATTATTTTCTGGGTTATTGTCTTTGTTCTAAAAACATTTTCAATAGGCCTATTTTGAATTTTTTTATGAAATTTCTTGTAGGGAGAGGCGTACTTTTAGTAATTTCTGCCTTTTTATGGAAAATATATAAAACGGGATTTCTATGGGGCACGTTTATATAGTTGACCTGAAGGACGACCTATCTCATTTTTTTTTCACATTGGTAGTCTGTATCCTAAGTCTTAAATAGAGTTTCCTCCCTTAGTAAAAATGGCGTCAAATAAGGAAAGGGAAGCATTTTCCGAACCAGAGAGAAAATTAGAGGTAATTTTATATAGTCCTAGGTAGTGATTCGGTCACAATGAGACGACCCATGTTTAAAGAGAACCCAAAGTCAATTTGATTTGTTCTCATCCTTCCGAAGCAAGCTCAAAAATTTGTGTAGGCCGATTTTCTCGGCCAATGTTTACCTTTTTTTCTATCATCACATTGACATATTTTTTTTTGTTTATGTTGTCAGAATTGTAAACAACTCTCAGAATATGTTGGATTAAAATAGAACAATACTTACAAATGACTTAGTGAGATTTACGTTATGAAAACAAATTTAAGTTTATATAGGGGCTGACTTAGTCAGTTAGTGGAAGAACAATGATTTCAACAAGCTTTTCCTAAATCGTAAAATATACGTATTCAGAAATACTCCCACTTGTAATACAAACAAGCAAAACGTTTTTGTAATGTAAGCGAGAAATTAATCTTTATTAAAACGAAGTGGATATTTAACCGTATACGGCAAAGTACATGTATCTACTTCCGCTATTTTACCTTACATCATTTCGGCGCAGAAGCACGATTTTATGGGGAAAACATAAACCACTGACAGTCTTAGTATCTAAATTAAAACCAAAATCCGCAGAAATGTGCCCTCGACCAAAATAGAATAATATTCTAAATGCTTTTCTACAATTTACATTTATTATCTTTTCTTTTAAAAATAATTCTCCAGTTTCTACCATAGAAATTCAAGTATGGCTATTTCGTTCCTTTATAAGAAACAGAAAAAGAAGCAATGTTAGACAAAGAACGAATAGAACTGTTGGGTTAGGGTTAGGTTTTGGGTTAGGGTTAGTGTTTGGGTTATGGGTTAATGTCAGACGCCAAAGCGAAAACTGCGAAGTCCAGGTATCAGAGAACTGTGCATGTTAAACGGAAGCGTACGGCAAAATAGTAAATAAAGTAAAGTGCCGTATACGGTTAAATATCCACTGCCTTATTAAAACAGGAAGTGATGTAATTGGTTCAACACACTTGCTAGTCCCTACAGTAAACATACAGATAAGGCATAGGGGTACTGCTGTCTTTGTTCATGCATTGTCGATGGGCCAAAAATCTGATCAAATGGGCTGTTTATTAGGATATAATAAACACAAAATTATGTTCTTCACTTTAATAAATAAAGCAGTCGCATAAATTCCCCCATACTAAACATTACGCTGTGTCTGTGACTCAATTATGGCCAATTGTTTAGACCAGGTGGTTTGTTTGACAGCTTGCATGTGACAGCTATTTTGTCTGTTTCGATGTTCTTGTGCTTGCTGACGGTGTTTTTTAACATAAACAGACTAAAATTATGGGCATGTGTGACGTGCATTGTGGTACATAATGTCGATTTGAACGACTTTTCCCTTCTTTTTCTTCCTGGGCTCGAATCTGTATACGGCATTACTGTAGACTCATAGAAGAGATACAACATATTCCGATGGGGAGTTGGATGGCTGAATAAAGTCTGTCATTGAGTCGACTGGCGTGGTTTCAAATCCCCGGTTGTACGTGACAAGGTATAGGGTCGCCTGTCCAACCTCGTGGGTTTTCTCGGGGTCCTCCGGTTTCCTCCAACTGCTAAAGACCCCTACGCACAAGCAAATTATTGAAATAAAATTAAAACCATATGTTAGTCCCAAAATGACCTAGTTTGTGTAGAGTGGACGTTAAACCCCATTTCTCTCTCTCTCTCACATATTCCGATACATTGGTGTGTGACATTGATATAATTTGGAAATTTATTTGAATATACAGTCTGGAGTTTGAGACTAGAAACACCGAACACCGTGGAAAAACACTCTATTTCACGGTGGAATCTCGGAGAATCGCTAGCGAAACGGCAGCTTGCCAAATCACCGCGAAATAGGGTGTTTCACGGTGAATTATAGTGTTTCGCGGTGGAACACGGTGAATCGCTTGAGTGCCGATATCATCCCGATGTAAGCATGTTGACGGAAAATGTAATTTATTTAAGTTGAATACAAGATATGTTAACCGTTGGCGAGACAGCTACGGTCGTATTTTTTTTATTTCTAACACACTGTACATGTATAACGTGGTGCCACCGTGTACGGCGTATGTAAACAATGAATAACTTACAACGTATCATTTCATCTTATTGGCTGCTACCAAATCCAAACTTTGAATTATATACGATGAGATTTTACACACTACTTCATTACTCGCAGCTTTAGTTAAACTAAATCCATAAAGCACAACGCCATAAATCACTTCCGCAATGTGGTTAACCGTTAGTCACGTGGTCTGAAACGCGCGAAAACATGAGATGTTGGGTTCGACACGGGGACTATATTCTTAGCAAATCTTGACTGTCACCGGTACATAATAACAATGTATTATGACGCATTAAAACAATATGGGTGGGAAGGGGTACTGTGACAATATACATCTACTGGGTGCCCCTCATTTCATTTCGGTAGAAGCGGATATTAAATAAAGCCATTTCACACAGACGCGTACATGGCATATATTTATACAATGGCCACACGTGTGTTAATTCTCGTCATCACCCCGTTATAATTTACTTATTTTGAGTACACTTCTGAATGATTCCATTCCTTCGTACGTTCAACTTCCCGATTTTCTACTGCATATACATATCAGCAGCTCAAAAGCTATACTAGACGGTGTAAGCGCAAGTTTCGTGATTGAACCTGCATCGATATTGCATAATAAATCCATAACCGACAATTAAAGAGATGTTTTGGGTAGCATTTTATTCTTTTGGTTCCATTGTCATGATTTTTATTGAAAATCGAAAGTAAGTTAATCATGTAATACAAATGTACAACGTATACAAATCATAATATTTTACAGTCAAAATTAAATAATCATACAATATATTCTTTTGGTTCCATTGACATAATTTTTATTGAAAATCGAAATTAGGTTAAACATGTACATGTAATACATATGCACAATGTATACAAATCATAATATTTTACAGTCAAAATTTAATAATCATACATGCACTAAAAGTGAATTCATTTTTTATTGCAGTTAGTACATGTATTTACTCACATAAAGTCTTGACACTTGGTAAACAATGTATTCAAATCCATCGCAAACACCTTTTTTTTCTTCTTTTTAAAAAATATTTTGTCTACACACACACATAAAATGTTTGTTTTTTTCTATTTAAAAATTTTTTTGTCTATACACACATAAAATTCATTTTCGTCTTAGAAATTCGTTAATCTTTACGACCACGCGCTCTTGCCAGGCATGTTTTTCTTGCACTTGAGGATAATGATGTAAAACATATCTTACGACGAATGATTTCCGTCGTGTATCGAGTTCTAGCTTATTGCATCTACCCCCACCGAAATACGAATATTTCTGCCGTAAGTTGTCGGGTCCGGTCAGTTCCGGAAAAAGTCTTTGTACTATTTTAGTTGCGAAATGGCCGGCATTAAAAGCATGGAGGTGCATGGCGTTCAGATCTTCAGCAGAAATACGAAATTCCGGTGGGATATCACCAAATTTTGATGTGTCAGTTTCAGGCGTTGGCAGCGTCTGTGTGGCGGGCTGGGGACTAGGTACTGGTGGTATCTGCTGATCTTGTCCCTCGCCATGAGGGGGGAGTCTCTGTAGTATCAACAAAACAAGATTATTCATATCCTTTAATTCTTGTCGCAGTCCCTTGACTTCTAGTTGTAGTTCATGCTGCTTTTTATTCATTGTCTTCATGTACCTTTCTACTGCTGAGAGTGTTTTCTGCCTGTTCCTATTAGGTGTCCTAAAAAGCTGCCTACATGTAATTTCACAATCTTGTAAATCTGGCAGGGCTTGCAGGAGGGACTGTTCTTCAGACGTAGAGGGCGATTCGACATCTCGGGGTACTGTTACACGTACGGGCACTGGTATTCTTGATGATGCCTGGAAGACTGATTCTGGTGTTGAGCTAGTTGAATAGGAGCTCGAGGATACATTAGAAATTGACAGATCACGTGGGTCATTGGAACTGAAACTTTCTAGCGTCGTTCGACGGATAACTGATGCCATTTTCTGAAAAGACAAGAGAATAAAATATATTTATTTTTATTCATTCAACAACACTTCAATATTTTGAGGGTTAAAGAATTGGACTTTTAATATTTAATAATGACATCAGATGAAAAAAAAGACAAATAAGTTTGAACTGCTTGTCTCAGATGCACTATATAAATCTGTACTACATTGCTATTATGGAAAATGGCTGCGAGTTTTAATTTTAAAATATTTTCCAAAGTACTCGCTTGTTTTCTAAGCTGAACATGAAATTAAGAGACTTGGGTTAATTAATTTACTGATAAGAACTCTAACACTTAGCAGTAACTTTGTGTCTGACCTCAGCCATTTCTTAATTTGTCACACCATGGAATAGACACGGCACATTGACATGTCACTTGTTAATTAGACTGAAACCATTTGAATATATAAATATGATGACACGTGTGCGCATGTATATTTTTTGCATATCTGTTCATGTGTATTGTCGTAGTCGATTCCTCCATAAAACCCAAGAAACCAGTAGCTCAATTCATAAAAATGCCTGCTACTCGTATACCACACTTGGATAAATTAAAAATTGTTGAACTCCACAAGAAAGACTGGAAGTGTTCTGCTATACATAGATACCTTAACCAATCTAATGTGAATGTGTCTTTGTCCGGTGTAAAATATACGGTAACCGCATATATTGAAGGACGATTTGACAACAAGTGCGTATTGACTGAAAAAACCCACCATTTTAACAACTTGTGTTCCGATGACATAGTATTTATTGATAACGAATTTCAACAGAACCCAGCACAGTCTGCCAGGGATATCCAGAAAACACTTTCAGCACACGGCACAGACACCTCGATTAGTACAGTCAGACGCGCCATTGATTTTGCCGGTTATACATCAACGAAACCACGATATTGTCAACTAATCAGAGACCAGAATAAAGAAAAAAGGGTTGAATTCTGTAGACATTTATTAGAGACCAATGACCAGTTTGATAATGTGATATTTACAGACGAATGCTCAATACAACTACACGATAACAAAACAGTTGCATATAGACAAAAAGATCAGAGAGCACCACAACAGTGTCGCCCAAAACACCCATACAAAGTTCACTTGTGGGGGGGTATTAGTCGTAAAGGAAAAAGCCAACTTCTTATATTTGATGGTATTATGGACAGTGTTTTCTATACAGAGGAAATTTTAAAAAAAACTTTACTACCATTCATAAATAAGAGATTTCACGATGGACATCGCTTCCAACAGGATAATGATCCAAAGCACACATCCCGACTTGCAAAAACATTTATGGAGGACAATAACATTAACTGGTGGTGCACCCCCCCCCCCCCCCGAAAGCCCAGACTTAAATCCAATCGAAATGGTGTGGAATATGCTGAAGCGCTACGTATCGAAAAAGAACCCCACCACAAAAGAAGAACTCTGTAATTACTGCCAAGACTTTTGGTACAACGTGCTTACGCGTGACATATGTAATCGCTTTATTGATCACATGTACAAGGTTGTTCCGGTTGTTGTGGTGGTGGGTGGGAAAGCCACGGCTGATATGCCTAAAAGACTTTTTGGGTCCGAACGTTCATTCGGGAAGGACAGTAATCATTTTAATCAAAAACTCCTAAACGACCCTAAAGTCAGAAAACGATTGCAATAAAATTATTAAATTGTTGTATATTTTTGTTATGTTGTTTTTGTGAAAACTATTTACCTTTCTTTTCGGTTGGGGTAAGCGACTCGTCGTTAAGGTACGCTTTGGTGTCGGGATTGTACTGGGGTTCTTTTGATGCTCATCTTTCTTCTTTTGTCCCATCTCCCTCTTTAGCCTTGACAATGTCAAGTAGTCTCCAGTCTTTATAATAACAGCGTCAGACACATCTTCGGGTTTGTTATATTGCACCTTGTACTTCCCATTCTCCGCAATCCTACCCTCTTCTAATATCCTACTTCTGGGAACAATCAGTAAGCCACCGTCGTCAAACTTAACCAGATAATGCGAGTACTCCTTGGTTTGATTTCTCCACATGATGCCGTATTGAATTAATGATAACCTGTCGTATTGAATAATCTCGAAATAAACCATTCGACTATAACCTGCCATTTATACGTACAAGGTATCGGCAAAAGTTCTTTGATTCTATTTACTCCAATTAATTTTATATAAAACAAACGATAATACTTCTCAACCACCAAGCTAAGAGACAAAGGCTTTCGACAAATCTACAGGAAGCCATGTCATTGTTTAAATTTGACCCATTCAGGTGGTTAATACAATGTAATCATCAGATTCAAGCTCTTCTATATACAAACAAAGTCTGGCTCCCTAAGAAAACATCTTGGTTTTGCTTCATTGTGACAAAATACCACGGGTAATACATAACACTTTATTAATTCAAAGAAAACAGATACATATTAAAACACAATTATCAATTTATTAAAACAACTCTTTATTATTGGTTCGAGTAGTCCACTACTGATGTCTTCCGTTTTGCTAGAAAATACAGAATAACTGTAACATAATTACTTATTTCCACGCAAACTGTCATCATTTTGTAATTAAACCTAATTTTACTTGCTCAAAGCCCCGAATAGAGTATCAATTGTAGCCGTGATTAAGAATTATTGCAGCTATTAACACGGATGAGTACAGATAATACGAATTAATCACTACTCAGTTATCGTTGTTTTAACTGATTGTCTTTGATGTGCTTCATGGTGAATTGTTTTAATACGTCATAATACATTGTTATCATATACCGGTGACAGTCAAGATTTGCTAAGAATATAGTCCCCGTGTCGAACCCAACAGCTCAGGTTTTCGCGCGTTTCTGACCACGTGACTAACGCATTGCGGAAGTGATTTATGGCGCTGTGCTTTATGGGGCGTTGATTTAGTTTAACTGAAGCTGCGGGTTATGAAGTAGTGTGTAAAATCTCATCGTACAAATATATAATTTAAAGTTTGGATTTGATAGCAGCCAATAATTGGTGGGTTACATCTAAGTTATAGACGAAGATGTAATGATACGTTTAAAAAATTGTAAGTTGTTTATTTTGGCATACATTTTCGCCGGCGTTATGTATGTACATGTATACAGTGCGTTGGGGAAAAAAATCCTAACCTATACAGAATGCCGGTAAATGTCTCCCCGAGATTACCTAACTCATTTGTTATTCAAATCGGCCTGTACTTTAAACATATTCCCGGGAGCATTACTATATTACAACCCCTTCAATTTACAAATGTATTATAGACAATATTAGTTCGACCCTAGCTTAAGGTAGGCTCGCAAATTCCTTGCGGGAAGCACGGCAAAGCACGATGTACTTTTACCGAAACACGGTGAATTCCTAGAGAAACACGGTGAATTCCTAGAGAAAACACGGTGAATTCCTAGAGAAACACGGTGAATTCCTAGAGAAACACGGCGAATTCCTAGAGAAACACGGCGAATCTTAGAGAAAAATCGCCGCGGAATTAAGCGAAATTTCACCGTGAAATCTAAGAGAATTCGGAGTGTTTTTTTTCGCCGCGTCGGCGCGATTCTGGTCTCAAAAATTTGGTAGGAACTGTATATGTACTATAAGTCTGTTAAAATATATAAAAACACTGTCAGCATGCACAAAAGCATTCAAGAAGATGCAATATCTGTCACTTGCCGGCAAGCCTGGAAATAAGGCACCTCTCATAGACAATGTCAGGCACAGATTCAGGCATTGTCAGGCACTAAACCTCTGGTGCCTGTCATTTTGTCCAGCACTGATTTGTCTTTTTTATTGATTAATATCATGTCTGGCACTAAGTTGAAAATGTCAGGTACTATTTGATTTTCATTAGTGCCTGCCATTTTGTCAGGTACATCTAAAACTGTTATTTCCAGGCCTGCTTGCCGGGTTCAAACAAACCATGTAATGTAAACATTAATTAGCCCTGTGACATGAATTAGGCCACATCGTACTGTTCAGTATGAGTGAATTTATGTGTCAGATTTGTCTTTGTGTATGAAAGATACATTAGTTAAGAGTTTAATAAAGAGTTGGTCATTCTTGCTATAATAATTCCAAAATAGATGATAAAAAAAAGAAAATATTGAAAATTTCATTCAAATTACTTCATTCTCAGCCAAGTTATCATTGTTTGTAGTTTTGACAAGATGTGTGCTTTGTGGTAACCATAATCGGGACTTAGCCTCGCTTTCTCATTTTTTAATTAAATTTTTAAATGGCGAACCATTTTAATATAGTTAAAATCTTGAGTATCCGATGCCATCGAAAGTCGATTATGGTCTTGTTTTGTTAATAAATGTCTAATTAATAGTTTATATAACATTTCAGGCCTAATAAAGGACCTGCAATAGGCATATTTAGCTCTTGCATAATGTATGTTTAAACATGATCGCATATTTATAATATCCCAATAAACAGTCCGTTTAATCAGACTTTAATCTAAACGACAATGTTTGAACATAAAAGAGCACTAAACCATCAATTCTGTATGCTTTCTATAGAGGGACCAGAGAGCGTCTTGAACCAATTACATCACTTTTTAATAAAAATGTATTTCTCGGTTACAAAAACTTTTTTGCTTGGTTTACAGAGGACATTATTTATCAATATATATTTCAGATTTATTGAAAGCTTGCAGATCTTCATTTAGTGTAGACCATCGAAAGTATAAAAAAAAATGAAACGAAATATAGATCTGTATTTTAATCTATGAGTGTTGTAATAATTTGATTTTCAGCCACCAGTTGATACGATGTATAGATCTACTGATTCTAACCAAGTATGTTACAACTCTGTCCTCCACCATAAAACATATTTTTACTCAACACGAAACTTGCTCCACCTTCAACCTCTTGTAGAGAAATTAGGTGGCTGAATAGATCAACATGTGTACTTTAGATCATAAGGTCTGTCATTGAGTCATGTGACTTGGTTTCGATTCTCTGTCAGGGAGTAGAATCACCTGTCCAACCTCGTGTGTTTTCTCTGGCTACTCCAGTATACTCCCACTGCTAAAGATCCCTGTGCGCAAGCGAATAACTAAAATAAAATTGAACCATATGTTAGTCCCCAAATGACCTAGTTTGTGTTGAGTCTCCATTGTGTTGTTTACCATTGTCAGTGGTGTATGACAGAGCGTCTAATTAATTCGCTACTCTAATAAACAATCTTCCTCGGGATTATCCCACCTAGTTTCCCATTGTCTTTTGTGCCAGATGGAAGACCAGCATTGCTGTCTAGTTCACTGGAATGAACGAAAAATGAAGTTTTGTCTAAACTTGCTCTTGTTTCCCCTTGGCAGCGTTGCCTGATAATAAACGGCATCTATTAGTTCAGATGGGACAAAAAAAAAAGTTTTGTGTACGGTGTATGCATTTGAATGCATGTTCAAGCACTTGCAACAGGTTGGCAAAATATCCCTACATGGCAAAATATCCCTCATATCACTGAAAATATCTTTCATATCGCTAAAAATATCCCTCATATCGCTAAAAATGTCCCTCATATCGCTAAAAATATCCCTCATATCGCTAAAAATATCCCTACATGGCATAAGCTTATCTTCATTATTCTGGTTGGTGAATAGAAGGGGAGAAAGAGAGACATTTTGGGACTACAGTAACAGATGGTTCAATTTTATTAGAGAAAACCCACGAGGTTGGACAGGTGACACTTCTCCTTGTCAGGTACAACCGGGGAACCAAAACCACGCCAGTAGTAGATCGTTAAAACTCATTTCTTATCAGTTGATTTCACAAAATGTACTAAACTAATATATGAACCATATTTTTATATTATTCCTCAGTATATATTACATGTACTTAGGCTACTGTTACCACTAAGCTGAGTAAAAATAAGTTTTATGATCTCCCAGTGGACATATTTACAACTAATATTTGACTTTAGTCCTTTCATATCTCTGGCTTTTAGCTCTTATTTACAGGGTTTACGGCTCATATCATATCTAGCTTATAATCTGTATCTCGCTAATATCATATCCGACTCTAATTAATTTAGAAATTTTATTTGCTAATATCAAGTTAATATAAGGTACATCATATCCAACTCTATAACGTAAATATAAGGTACATCATGTCCGACTCTAATTAATATTTAGAAATTTCATTTGCTTATATAATGTAAATATAAGGTATTTTTGAAATGAAAGAAGAGGAGAACGCTGCTGCCTGGGAACAATTCATGTCTCTATTAATTAACAGGTAACCATAGCAATAATGATCACTATGTGTTAGTCTAGTATTTTGCCTTATTACACTATTTTGCCTATACCGTTTTTTTAGGACTTCGAATTTTGTTTAATGGTTTGGATTGTTCGTACTTGGTTTTATTTTATTTATGTATACCCTGTTAAAATGAACATCAATCCTGTTACCATGGAGGAGCAAGCCACGGTGGTTCAAGGAGTAAGATGTTGGCTCACTAACCTGGCTGTCCGTGTTCGATTCCTGCTATGGGTGAGAAAGTTGATCAGGATGTTCCGAAGTGGTTCCCCCTTGTTAGTGTTTTAGGACAGAGGGCCTGGCAAGGGACAGTGCAAAGTCATTCGAATGTGACAGAAAACCCAACGCCTTGTGAACAGATCGGCGTGTATGTAAAGGAACCCTTGGCAGTTGGAATTTGATATAAAAGTAGGCCATCTGTCTGTTTGTCACACTTTATAGGACACAATAACTCTCCTCCTAATTGAGGTAGAATTTACAAACTTGGTGTTTATTAGGTGAATCAGTTGGAGTTTGAAGATGAGTATTTTCAGAGATAAGCAATTTGATTGGTCGAGACTTTGGGACATAATAATAACTTTGGTTCTAATTAAGTTCATCACATCAGTACCTTGAATAAGTTTGATAATGAGCATTTTCAGCTCAGGGTAAGCAGAGTATTGAGAAATTCGATTGGTCAAGACTTTGGAGCTCTCTCTCTCTCTCTCTCTATCTCTCTCTCTCTCTCCCTTGGTCCTCCGGTTTCCAATTTGTGTGGAGTGGATATTAAACTAAGTTTGTTGTCTACAGCTTGCAGTGTGTGTGTGTCTTGTCCGCTGTTGTTTCTCTTATGTGTTTTATTTGTGTGTGGTGCAGTCCTCCTGTTCTTACTATCATTACATAGTAAGGCCATTTATTTGATATCCATCCAACCATTTAACAATGTAACAGAGGTTATTTATTGAGATAATCAGCTTAGTTTTATAATAGTACATGTGTAAGTGTTTTGTTCTATTCTATTGATAACACGTCTGGGATTAGTATAGTAATAAAACCGTGACTAGCTTATAATGAGACCATTACTTCCATTAATACACGATGTAAACACTGTTTAGTAAACAAAGAAGGTATAGAGTTGGAAATAGATATAGTGCATGATTCAAGTCACTCAGTACTCGAGAGAACGGTAAATTGAACTCACTCACTTCCCAAGAGAGAGGATCAGAGTTGGAAATAGACATTATTGTTATTATTATTATTACAGCATATTTATAGTGCGCCCTTTCATAGAAATCAACAACAAGATTATGGACATGTTAACGATTGTATACAGAGTCAGTTAAAAGCCTGATTAAATAAATGTGTTTTAAGTTGTTTTTTAAAAGAATATATTGCGTGTTTCAAGTCACTTAGTACCTGAGGGGACGGTAATCGAAGTCACTCACTTCCCGAGAGAGGACAGTGAATTGAAGTTGCTCAGTACTTGATAGGACAGTGAATCAAAGTCTCTCACTTCCCGAGAGAGGGGATCGAAATCGAAGTTGATCAGTACCTAAGAAGACACTAGACCCTCTAAATCCTGACTTCAGCAACACATGCTCTTTGATTCTGTGCTGTATCCGAGAGGACATTGGATCTCTGTGCCATATAAATTCTGACTTTAGTACCCGAAAAGACATTGGATCGCTGTGCCACCCTGGCTTAAGCAACACTGTATACTCTTTTATCTGAATGTTGGAGATTCTGTCGTTAACATCAACCTCCTCCTCTCTACTTATTATGGATTTATTAGATCGTAGTGTAAGATATCGTTTTATAAAATAAAGTATCTCTGAATACCCACTTTAAAAAAACAGACACTCAATTGTTAAGCAAATAATTAATGTCATAGGGTCAAGATACGCACTTATGATCCCTTAACGCAACCTCCCATTACACCCACAGTGGACTGGAGACTATCGAAAGTATATAAAAAAAAATGAAACGAAAAATAGATGCACAAACGGGTCAGATCTTAATGCAGTTGAGGCCATCGAAGCGAAACGAAAAATAGATCTGTATTTTAATCAGATTAGGATCGAGTGAACAGAAATCAGATCTAAGACAGAATTTTCACATCATTGACATCTCAATCATGTTACTATATGACTGGCACTGCACGATTCAAGCCGAATGCTTGAATGACAAGGAGTAGTGGCACCTGTCCAGCCTTGTGGTTTTCTCCAGCAGCTAAAAACCACTACGCGCAAGCAAATTATTGAATAAATATAGTTTGAACATATGTTAGTCCCAAAGTGACCTGTTTTGTGTGAGTGGTGTTAAGCTCTCTCTCTCTCTCTCTCTCTCTCTCTCTCTCTCTCTCAAAAATCTTCACAAAAATAATAAGTTTTATATTAAATATATAAAAAGTTTCATTATTGATAACATTATTGATAACATTATTTTTATTGCTTACTAATTCCATAACCAAAGAATTATTGATAATAATTTAACAATATTACTTTATAACCAAAACTCAGTCAGCTTATATACATTATAATTAATGGCTTTTCAAATATTCAATCTAATTTTTATCCTATTTCTTATTTATGTTTTATTGATAAGAGTTTATCATTGTGTCTTTTTATTTCCACATTATTTTATTTTAATCCTTATAAGACATATAGAAATAGATTTCACTAAAAATAAAACACACTTATATGGATATACTACTTCTGAATTTATTAACATGCTACGTTTCGATACACATACAGATATCGTTTTCAAGCAAATAATGATGATCACGATATCTGTATGTGTATCGAAACGTAGCATGTTAATAAATTCAGAAGTAGTATATCCATATAAGTGTGTTTTATTATTATTTTATTTTGTCCTAGAATTTTATTAAAACTTCAATCGGATTTATTTGAAACAAGCAGGATACACGGCTTCGCTCGGGAGTCATAACTCCGAAATTGGAAGTGGTAGACTAACGCCACCTGGCCTATGTTACTCCCCGGTCCGAGCTACCCCTATACCCCAAATTTCAGACTCTGGGCAGACCTAGTGTAGCCACCAACCCCAAACAGACAGACAGACAGATACCCGGCTTCGCTCGGGGGTCATAACTCCGAAACCGGAAGTGGTAGACTAACGCCACCTGGCCTATGTTACTCCCCGGTCCGAGCTACCCCTATACCCCAAATTTCAGACTCTGGGCAGACCTAGTGTAGCCACCGACCCCAAACAGACAGACAGACAGATACCCGGCTTCGCTTGGGGGTCATAACTCCGAAACCGGAAGTGGTAGACTAACGCTACCTGGCCTATGTTACTCCTCGGTCCAAGCTACCCCTATACACCAAATTTCAGACTCGGGGCAGACCTAGTGTAGCCGCCAACCCCGAACAGACAGACAGACAGACAAACGACAGTCACAAATATATATATAGATTGTACTGTGATACTGTATCTAGCTACAGATATATATTAATAAAGGGAACCATGGTGGCTGAGTGGGTAAGACGCTGGCTCACTAGCCTGGAGGTTGCGTGTTCGATCCCTGCATTGACCAAGAGAGTTCATCAAGATTTTCAGATGTGTAGTTTCCCCTTGTCAGTGATGCAGGACGGAGGGCTTGACAAGGACAGCTGTCTAGTCATTCGGATCAGATGGAAAACCAAGGTCCCATGCATTCATTGGAGTGGGATCCCATATAAATATGTCCCATATAGACATATCTACCATATGACTAGAGTGGGATTCCATATAGACATGTTTGTCATATGACTAGAATGGGATCAAGGCTATATGATTCCATGTAGGATTCCACTTTACATATGACAAGGCTGTATAATGATATAATATGGCCTCGGTCACCTATGGCTCCCGGGCGTGGTTTTGATACCTAGTATGACCGTACATGTATGAGGGCGTCTTCTCAACCTTGTGGTTCCGTGTACTCCAGTTTCCTCCCACAAGTAATAAAAATAAGATAACTTATCTGCGATATCACCTCGGTGGGAGCGGACTTGAAACACTAATAGAAGGAAGAAAATGGCCTCTGTAACATATGTTTGATCGGTTTGAGCTTGATCTAACCAGTTAATACTCTTTCTCCTAAATTAATGAGGCTAAGCTCCTTTAATAACGACATATTATACATGTATTTGTATTTTGATGCTTTTTAGCCTACAGGCCCACCACCAACAGGTAATTACGACCTATTATATATGTATTTTTGCTGGTTTTTTTAGCCTACAGCCCCGCCACCACCTACAGGTAATGCAAATGATATTGAAGCAGCACCACCTTATGATCCCAGTAAACCCCAGGAATATGACTCCGAATTACCCACCTATCAACAAGCCTTACATGATCCTACAGGTAGGTTATAAACAAGCCTTACTTGATCCTACAGGTAGGTTATAAACAAGCCTTACATGATCCTACAGGTAGGTTATAAACAAGTCTTACATGATCTTACAGGTAGGTTATAAACAAGTCTTACATGATCCTACAGGTAGGTTATAAACAAGCCTTACATAATCCTACAGGTAGGTGATTATACATAGCTGCTTAAATGTGGTGGGGGGGGTGTCGTCTATGCAATGCAAGTCATGGATGGTTTGCCAGGTACCTGGCAACTCATCTTTAGAAAATTTGCCGTGGATGTTCATATCAAAATTCAAATATTTTCTATCAACAACTGTCTCCAAATTTAATGTTTATGCAGCAACCGGGATAAAAGACACAAGTTTATGTCAGTGTTCGCACCAACTGGGCAAATGGACACAAGCTTACGCCATATAGTGTGTGCACCAACCAGGCAAATGGACACATGCTCACATCATGCAGTGTGCACCAACTGGGCAAATGGACACAAGCTCACGTCATGCAGTGTGCACCAACCGGGCAAATGGACACAAGCTCAAGTCATGCATTGTGCACCAACCGGGCAAATGGACACAAGCTCACGTCATGCAGTGTGCACCAACCGGGCAAATGGACACAAGCTCACGTCATGCATTGTGTGCACTAACCAGGCAAATGCTCTAAACTGATCTATTAACAGCTACAAGAACAAAAAAGTTATTACAAGAACAGGATACAGAGCAGGGCTTCCAATTCAAAATTTTCCCAGCCGATCATTTTTCACACGATGAAAGTGGTGCTGTTTACAATCTGTTTACAATCTGTTTACAATCTGATTAAAATACAGATCCTATTTCGTTTCCTTTTTTATAGTTCAAAATTTCGTTTTACTTGTTTGTTGGCCATCGAAAGTATAAAAAAACGAAACGAAATATAGATCTGTATTTTAATCAGATTGTGCTATTTTTAGCACATAATAAAATGCCACAAAACAGCATTTTCAAAAGCCCTCGGTCCCGGCCAGCATACCCAGCCGATATGGAACCCAGGAAACACAGATTCAAATGTCTTTTTTTATCATTTACAAGTGTAAATTATTTGTTTTCAGTACCTCCTCCGACGTATGACTCTTTGTACGGTAAAATAAAAGATGTAAAAAAGAAATCCACCGGAATTGCTGATTTCCTCATGAAAATACTTGAAACTCTAGTCAGTACAAGTAAGTATTCATGCTCCAGATATATGATCATATTAAAGTCAAACATTCTAGATAAATGGTTTTATATAGAGCATCTCCTACGAGTCTTTTTTGATATCAAAAAATATCAGCACAAGTTGATAAAGTGAAAAAAATACCAAGGCTCTGCCGAGTGTTGATATTACATGCACAAATAAATAAATCTAATTCTTTGCTGTAGATTTCACTTTTACTGAACCTGATTACATTACGGCGGCGTAGTGATACATCATTTTTTAACAACAATTCAACCATTGCAAATTCTTTATATTGACCCAGTGTTTCCATCAAGGTCAATTAAATAACAATAGTTCATTTTTAATAAAAAAAAAATGTGACTTTTAATAAGAAATAAACTGTTCTTTGAAAATAAAAAAAAGTAGTTCCTTTTCAACTGACCAATCAAACTCATGTATCTCCTTAGGAGAAATCGCAGTAGATTATGAAATTTATCACACAAGTGATATCTACTGTAGAATGTATTATTGAGTGATATATGATAATATTAAAGTCAAATAGTCTAGATAAATGGTGTTAAAGTCTCGTAGCATAGGAATCTCTTTCAAACTTCAATTTTGTGCAAGATAAATCTCTAAGAAGAATATCATTCCAAAAGAGTGGTTGGATGGCCGAATGGTTAGCGTGTGCGCGTTGAATCATAAGGTCTCTTATTGAGTCAACTGTCATGGTTTTGATTCCCCGGATGTAAGTGACAAGGAGTAGGGTGGCCTGTCTAACCTCGTGGGTTTTCTCCGGGTCCTCTGGTTTCCTCCAACGGCTAAATACCCCTATGCGCAAGCGAGTTATTGCTATAAAATTAAACCATATGTTAGTTCCAAAATGACCTAGTTTGTGTTGGTGGATGTTAAACTCCATTTCTCTCTCTTTATCATTCCAAATATTCTTCAATTCTGTTTAATATTTACAAAGATATGGTGAATTGAAATTTGGATGATCTGTACTACTCGCTATGTAATGAGCTTGCTACCATTTTGTTTTTTGAGAACTTAATTTGTCGATGAATTTAAAAACGATTGGACTTTATCTAGCATTTGTATTTTGATGTTGTTTTCTCAATTAAATATTAGATAATCAGTCTGGATACATATTAACGTGGGCTAAGCTGTGAGAAATCAATACAATTCAAATGAAACAATGAAACTTTAAGGTGTATATTAATAATAATAATACAGGATTTATCCACATCACTAAGAGTTATGGTCCAAGCTTGACACAATTACTACATCAGATGATTACCTCCCTTTACTCCAGAGATTTTGATTTTTACCTTGTGTTTATATTTCACTGTAAAGTTAAAAGCTGAACTCTGATTACAAAACTACAGAAATAATTAAATTAAAAAAAAGATAATGCCCTAAACAATCTTCAAAATTGTTTTCAATTTGTAGAACAAAAATGGCGATTGCTTACGGCATAGGGGATCACGGTGGCTAAGTGGGTAAGACGCTGGCTCGCTAGCCTGGAGGTCAGGTGTTCGATCCCTGCATTGGCTGAGAAAGTTCATCCAGATTTTCTGGCGTGGTTCTCCCTTGTCAGTGATGCAGGACGGGGGGGGGGGGCCTGACAATGACAGCTGTCTAGTAGTTCGGATGGGACGAAAAGATGCACGTAAAAGATCCCTTGACAGTTGGAATTCGATATAAGAGTAGGCCATAGTGCCGCTGTCCGGGCAAAATTTCCCTCATAGCACACTGTATGGCGTATGCCCGTCTTCATTAGCCCAGTTCGGAGCAGAACAGTAGGACATTAAACCCCACTTCATTGCATCTCATTTTGCTTACGGGGTACAAATACAGAGGCAGGCCACGCCCACATCCAGTATATGCCTTGCCAAGCACTGTATCCACGTCCAGCTAGCTATACAATTACCAATTACCTGTTGACTGATAGAAATTTTTTCACTATCAGCTAACTGAAAATATTATTGCTACACAATTATTATGTCTGATCAGGTACATATTATTTTACTAATTAGACGAAATAAGACTACCACAATGTACTTTGGCTCTAAAAAGAGAAATTATTTCTGTAGTTTTGTAATCAGAGTTCAGTTGTAAGTTATCATGCCAAATCGCTAGGTCTTGCCAGCCGAATATGTGTAGTCCGTTTTCCTTTCATTACCTGTGAGAATTGATACGATTGTATATTTTTTATTTTTTTTTTCAGTGTGTTTTACGATTCTTCTTGGTATTGTTATTGCTATACCTGTCAGTATGATCGCAATCGGTAAGTTTCATGTAGAGTTTGAAACAATCTGATTAAAACACAGATCCTAATTCCTATTTCGTTTCGTTTTTTATAGTACAAAACTTCCTTTTAAATGTCTTTACTACACTAGGATCTGGAAGAGTTGTTGTCATTGACGTATTCTGGATGATGTGAGGGATTAGCCAATGAAACGATCTGTTACGTTGGGCTTTTGGCATGTGGTGCATAGAATTATGAGTAATCCACTAGAAACATCAGTGCTGATTGGTTAATAAAATGTCAAGAGCCACTTTTATAGTTCAAAACTTCCTTTTAAATGTCTTTACTACACTAGGATCTGGAAGAGTTGTTGTCATTGACGTATTCTGGATGATGTGAGGGATTAGCCAATGAAACGGTCTGTTACGTTGGGCTTTTGGCATGTGGTGCATGGAATTATGGGTAATCCACTAGAAACATCAGTGCTGATTGGTTAATAAAATGTCAAGAGCCGCTCGTATGACCTCTGACTCGACCCCCGAAAACATCTTGTCAGATCTTCATGTAGTGTAGGCCATCGAAAGTATAAAAAAACGAAACGAAATATAGATCTGTATTTTAATCAGATTAAATTTGAAAGAAATCGGCCAGAATTTGGTCAAAATAGGTCCGGATTGGAAATAGGGTAATTATAAGCTCCCATTCCCGTTAATATATCCAGACTTCAACAAAAATAATTCTTGGTAATTTTTTATGCAGAATGAAACTTTCATGTATTACTGGTCATTTGTTTAAACAATCTATTTAAAACACAGATCTATATTTCGTTTCGTTTTTTTTATACTTTCGATGGCCTACACTACATGAAGATCTGACATTTTGTACTCGAAGGTTGTGTCAGGGGTCATACGAGCGGCTTTTGACCATATGACTTCAGATATTGATTAATCAATCAGTGTTGACGTTTCTAGTGTTTTACCCACAGTTCCTCACTTCAACCAAAACGCCAGTAATATAACAACTCTTCCAGATCCTAGTGTAGTAAAGACAAAGACAAGTAAAACGAAATTTTGAACTGATGGCAAGGGCATGTTTGTTGGTCCATACATAAATTTGAATATCAGCAAATTTTAAGAGGTGAGGCTACCGGAAAAATGCTTTCTGAAATTCTAAAGCTAATGAATTGAAGATTGCACAAGTAGTTAGGAACTGTACTGAACAAGGCAAAACTAACATTAAAATGAAAGAAAAAAAAAGTTGTTGCCAGGGTAACACTTTTTGGCTGGGAAAAAGTATGAAAAACGTAGGTACACCATATCTCTGGCACTAATAAAGATAAATTTCTCATTTTAGGGCTGCATATTCTTTAATGATAACCCCAAAACCAGACGGAGAGTTTGTCTCTATAATTTTTATAGTTTCTTGGAAAATGGTGTTTAAAACATTTGCCTCACCACAATATTTTGTCTTTAGATAACTTTTGAAATATTAATGTTAATTCAAATTGCTTTCTGTCTGATTCTTTGGTAGATATTAGTTTATATACCCTGCAAATTTGATGAAGATATCTTAATTAGTTACAGAGATATAGTGTACCTACGTCTTTCATAATTTTTTCCCAAAAATGTGTTACCTTGGCAACAACTTTTGTTTAATGCTAGTTTTCCCTTGTTTATTACATTTCCTAACTACTTGTACTATTTTCAATTCAATAGCTTTAACATTTCAGAATAAAAAATTTCAGATAGCCTTCCCCCTTGAGAAAAATATTCTGCTTCTTAGATTCTCCTGCGTCACTTAAAATGGCATTATGGGAGATTAGATAAAGAGCTGTCGCCTGGTTCTCACTATAATAGTTAAAAAATAGATAACGTACATAGAATATGCTGAAAATTTCAGTTAAATTGCTCCACTCGGAACCAAGATATTAGCGATTGAATTTTAGGCCAAGCCTCGATCATTTGATCATCATTACTAAAGTCGATACGATTAAAAAAAAACAGTCTTGATTATCCATTTTGACGTTAAATCATCCATTACAAAATTTAATTAAATCCAATAAATATCGCATGCTAATTAATAATTTAGATAACATTTCAGGTCTAAAGAAAGACTTGCAATAGGCAGATTTAGCTCTTGGGTAATGTATGTTTAAAAAGAGTTGCATGTATGTTTTTATTTAAAAAAATGAATTTCCACAGTTAAATTTGAATGAGTGACATATATTCCTATCTATTATTAGGTTCCATACACATATCCAACTGCCCAGCAGAGAGATATATTCCTATCTATTTGATAGTAGCAGGATGTTTCGGTCTGTGGCGAAATTTAACGAGCTTCATTCCACGATTCTGTAAGGACGACAAAGAAGCAAAAGGTGAAGAAGAAGGAGAGAAAAAGTCTAAGAGTGGGAGATATTTACATCTAATCGATTGCTTCCTGTTGGCGTGGTTTATTGCTGGTGAGTTTACTTGATATATATATATATATAAGGAGCAATGGTGGCTCACTAACCTGGAAGTCCCATGTTTGATCCATGTGTTGACTGAAAGAGACTTTCTGGCATGGTTTGGATCCACACTTGTAGATGACAAGGTATAGGATTGTCTGCCTACCCTCGTGAATTTACTCCGGATCCTCCTGGTTTCCTTCAACGGCTAAAGACCCCTATGTACAAGAAAATTCTATGAGAACAGCACTGGCTCACTGACCAGAAGCTCCTGGGTCTGGTCCAAGGATCTTCCCACCTAGTGTCTGCTAGGCAGAGGTGCAGGATGGAGGCCCGGGCGAAAACCAGGGTTCTGTGTATAATAATTGATCATTTATGTAGCGGCAAAAATCCACAAATATTGCACTCGAAGCGCTTGACAAAACATAACTACATAAAGTCTTTTGCTCAGACGAGTTTTTAAAGGTTTCTGGAAGGAAGTGCATTATACCACTAAAGTTCACCTGGCACTTTAAATTAGTGCTGGGTGTTGCCTCTGCAGTCACGATACAATACATACTGCGATTCAGTTCCTACAATATAATTTGTGACATGATTCATAATCAGGTCAATATATACCAAGGATAAATGATTAATTGATATTTTTAGTCCTGCCAGTATCGTAGAAATAAAACTGTTTTATATCATGATATTGATGTGGATCAAAATAAGGACCCAAACAATGTGTGATGTGGATAATTAATAGTGACAGGTTACTTACTGAAGCCACAAAAAAACATCAAAAATGAATTGCGATACACCAATTCAGTGTCTTGCGATTCAATACACGAATCGTGAAACGCGATACATCCAATCAACGATATATCATGCCACCACTAACTGAAAATCAGTGTATGAGGAGGCTGTAATCACTGCTGTTAGGGCATAATTCGCCTGATAGGGTGTTTTCGCCGTTTTATTTTGATTCCAGGCTTATAAATGATAATGAATCGGATCACCTGCATGCTCGTGCATGTTTTCTCCCTCCCATTTTTAAAGATCCCTGCATGCAAACAATACTATAACACAAAAGGGTCTCAAGGCAAATTAGCCAGGTAATACCCTCTCCCTCTCTCTTTTTTTTTTCCTTGGTTGGGGTAGGTGGTCCCGAATTTATTTGGTTTGCGTTGAGTCGAGGTTAAATATATCTCTCCCTTAGCTTGTGTCCCATTATCTAAAGGTTTGGCCTGATGGATTTTGTTTGTATGTTGTGTTGTCGTCCTCCAGCTACTATTATATCAGTGACAGAGAATTTTATTCATTTCTTCAGGTAATGTTTGGATATATCAAATCTATGGTCATATTGACTACACAGATCCAACCAGCAACGATTATTGCCATCATACTGTGTATACCTTTGCGTTCTGGATAACCACGTCCGTTTATATTGTGATTGGTTCCATGTGTTTCTGTATCTGTTGTGGTAGCTGTGTAGCCTTCTTCTTGGGTTAACATCCAGACTGATGGACGTCACCAAGCTGTGTGGCCTTCTTCTTGGGTTGACATCCAGACTGATGGAAGCTGTAATGTGTCTTTTATTTTTTATAAAACTCTAAAATTTTGGCCACGTAATTTTTTGACCTTCCTGGCAATCAGATTAAACTACAGATCTATATTTCGTTTCTTTTTTTTATACTTTCGATGGCTGACACTACATGAAGATCAGACCGGTTGTATCGATAGATGACGTCAGAGGTCATACCAGCGGCTTTTGACCTATGACGTCAGACATTTGATTAACCAATCAGCATTGATGTTACTAGTGGATTACCCACAGTTCCATGGCCTAAAGCTCGCTGTAACAGAAGGTTTCATTGGCTAATCCATCACACCATTCAGTACACGTCAATGATAACAACTCTTCCAGATCCTAGTGTACATGTAGTAAAGACAAGTAAATCGAAATTTTGAACTATAAAAACTAAACGAAATAGGATCTGTGTTTGAATCAGATTGACCTTGCTGGTCAAATACTTGTAGAATTAAAGCTTCCTATTTTCTTAAATGGAACAGAAAAAAAAAAGATTTATTTGTCAGATTTGAGATCTTTACTTGCCCATCAATAATTATATACCATAAAGTTACAATTTCATATTTTCTAAGAAAGTCAAAACATAATTATTTCTATGTCTTTTGCTCAATAGGTTGTCAACTAACCATTATACGATCATAGGTTATCTTTCTCACACTTAAAAATCTTCACACCGGAAATAATAACACAATTACCTCCCACTTACCTCCCTTGTTTTCCTATCCCCCACCATGGAATAGCTATCTTCAAATGTTTGAATTTGAAGTTGAAAATAATATTTTTGCCAATTTCTCAACTGGCAATAGTGAATTATAGGATTTAATAGGATTATTCTTTTATAAGGTAGGACTGTTTATAGATATCATCTATTTTAGGGCTTTATTTTAATACATTTTAAAAATATAACTTAAAAATATGAAATTGTAACTTTAAAATAAATTTTAAAATGTTCATTCTCTTACATTAAAGGGACATTAACGTTGTTTACTATCTTTACAACGGTAACAATGACAATCGAGGCTACAGTATTATTAAAATGAGTATTTCTCGGCTCACAGTGAAGTAAATTGACTGAAATTTTCGGCATATTCCTGTTACATTATATATTATTTTAAGTATTATAACAAGAACTGTTACCTCTTTATCTAATCTTCCATAATGTATCTTTAAGTTTAGAATTTACTCAAAATTGTTTAGTTTAACTAAAATATAGCCCTTTATAAAACTTTAGTTGTTTTAGTGTATCAAATACATCATAGGTTATGCCTGTTCCTCAATCTCTGCCAATTTCTAGAATAACATTTTGTTTTAAAAAAAAAAAAAATGAATAAAGCAAATTTGATGTTGAGTTATGATTGATTTGAATAGAATTGTAATTTTGATGTTGTATTTTAAGGTAAAGAGTTCCATAAAATTGCTGGATCATATTCATAATGTAGCATCTCTAAGGAACCCCTTGTCTCTTTACCTTAAAACTGAATAAACCTTAACTTCATTCAAATCAAACTTATTAGGGTTGTTTAATGTTTTGTGTTCTTTAATGTGACGTGTAATGTGTTGTTGTTGATGCTTAGACGTAGATTATAGCGGGCAATATAAAGTTTCATATTACTATTATATGTTCTGTCTTAAAGATACATTATATAAGAGCTAACTCTGTCTATTGTTGGTCTTTATTTTGGCTTCAAGTGTTATATCAATTATCAATTAAACATTTATTCACATAACAACCCCATAATCAACTCTCTAGACTGTCGGTTGGCAGAGATTTAAACGGATTGAAACATGATTGTCATTTAATAATTTATGCCACTTCTTGTATTAACTTCAAACAGTGATAACTTGGCCCAGAATAAAGTAATTTGAACAAAATTTTTGATATATTCATTTTTTATCTTTTATTTTTGAACTATTATAGTGAGAACTGTCAGCTCTTTATCTAAATCTCATATAATGTATGTTTAAGTTTTATTATTTGTCTCTTATATTGTCTCTTTCAATTTTTTAAAATTTTGTTTTAAACTGTTTATCAATAATCTGTTTCCCTATTTATTCTACACATTTGTTATGAATATATATATTTTGATCGTAGGAATATATATGCAGTATTCTGAATAATAATATAATAGTAATTAATTAATAGTTTTTAATAATTCATAATAATAAATAATAATAATGTTGTTGTGATCATAGAAACTATTTCTTAAAGGGCCGACCCCGATTTTAACAGTCTCAGAAATAAAAGTCTGTGTATGTACGAAATTTAAGTGCCAAAATTTAGAGGAATGGGGGATTTACCTTGTCTCAAAATTTCAGCTCACAATATTGAGCAGTTCGGACATGAACGTCAAAACCGCTTATCCGGACACATAACCCTTTAAAATTTTGGGTCAATTTTTTCGTTGGGTGACCAACCTGATAATCGATTACCGTTCCTTTAGAGGTCTATACAGTGCATGACCTATGTGCTGTACTTGATAATGAAAGGTTAATTTTACCTACACGTTATTTTTATAAAATAAAAGTCTGGTTTTTACCGGACACCGTATAATACAGCTTGGGACACCAGTCGAGATTGGCCCTTTTAACCATGGACCTTATAATACATATAATATAAGGATGGACCGTATAATATATGTATTATAAGGTCAATGGTTAAACAAAGAATAACCTCCAAAGACAGTCAGATACATAGTCTTTATTATCCAGACCAGCGTTATCTTTGCTTTCTTAGACTGGATAACCTACTCAAATACACCATACTAGTTCCTACATCAATCCATCAGAATAGCGGAGAGCACATATGGACAGGTCAAGTCTCCACATAAGCACTGACCTAGGATGATGTAAATTTAGTTTGTGATATTTCCTAGTTTTATTAAAAAAATACATGGAATACATTAGATTAATATACAAAGTTGGTTTTGCTGTTTTTTGGTGTTGGTGGCGCTGATGGTCTTCCTTCGGTGCCTTGTGGTATCTCATGACCTTTAACCAAATCTGGAGATAACCTTAAGAAATAGATCTAACTGCCTGATGTCATTTAGACCAGGTTATCCAGTCTATTGCTCACAATGACAATTAATGATAGTCGGGATCATACAGTAATATAAATGTGTACTGTATGTTGTATTTACTTGTTTTGTTCAACTAATTTCATATCCTTTTACAAAGTAAATTAAGGTATTTTGTTAATTATTTATTTTTGAACTATTATAGTAAGAATGGCCAGCTCTTTATCTAAATCTTACATAATGTATCTTTAAGGTATTTTATTTATTCAATAAAGCCAATTAGTTTTAGTTGTCAAATACTTGTATTTTTATCTGCTCATAGCTTTGTTTACCTTTTTTCTTAGAGGAAATCATGTATTGTGTATACTGGGCCCATTGATATTATAATAATCATGCTTCCATTATGGTATTTAATTCTGTCTGACTTATAACATAATTTTATTTTGACCTATTGATATTGGTGTAATAGTCATCCTTCCATTACTGTATTTAATTCTGTCTAGAGTTTATTTGGGCCTATTAATATTATAATAGTCATACTTGCATATACTGTATTTATTTGGGGGTTATTGATATTACAGTTGTCACACTTCCATACTCTACTATATTAATGTACTAGCAGGATACCGGGCTTCGCTCAGGGGTCATAACTCCGAAACCGGAAGTGGTAGACTAACGCCACCTGGCCTATGTTACTCCCCGGTCCGAGCTACCCCTATACCCCAAATTTCAGACTTGGGGCAGACCTAGTGTAGCTGCCAACCCCTAACAGACAAACAGACAGACAAACGACAGTCTCAAATATTAGTATAGATAGATAGATAATGCACTATATACAATTCTGTATGTATAATGTACTATATACTCTACTATATTAATGCTCAATGTGTAATGTAATATATACTGTTGTTTTAATTTGATGTATCGATATTATATTTGTCATACTTCCATTATATAATTCTATATGTGTTATGATGTAATTATACAGTGTATATGGTTGTAGTTTGATTGTTGTCAAGCTTCCATATTATATTTAATTCTATATGTGCTATAATGTAATATATACTGTTTTAGTTTGATGTATTGATCGTATAATTGGCTAGCTTCGATATTATAAACTATATTTATTTCTCTGTGTTAGGTTTTATTGTATTTTTACGGACGGATCTTTTATAGATTTGACTGTCGGAATATTCTCGTTTTCGAAGTATTCAAAATCTCTCAAAATGGTGATCAGATAGTTTTATGTACAATTCTCTATATTTTTGTAATGGATCAAATGGAGGAATTGAACTATTTTTGAAATGATATCCATTTTACAGATTTATATTTCACAGTATTGTAGTATATAAAATACTTCAATTTTCCTAGAACACTTGGTGTCACTTGTCTATTGTTTAGGGAAGGTATCCATGTGACAGTTTTTGTTGTACTGAAAGTTGTATAATGCCTTTTAGAGGTTCAACTTTCACAATGTTGTCATTTGCAAGGTATTCAAAATTCGAGATAGTTTTTGTTGTACTGTAAAATGATTGTTTTGTGTGATGTTTGTTTATTTAATTATTAATCATATTATTATTATTATTATATTAATCTCACTCAACAGAAATAAAAAATCTTTTCTATATATTTTTTAATGGTATTTATTATTAGGCTTATCACTATTTTCAATAGTGAAAGACTATTGTTATTACTAAGATTATTATTATTATTCTTTTTCCATTCCACGTAGATCTCAGAATCTATAAGAGATTTAGATCTGAAGTTTGATTTTTTTTTTTTTTTTTTTTTTTTTGGAAAGTGGTGTTTGCTAGTGCTTAATGCAATTACGAAATATGGGGCACAGACATGAAAAATTGGCTATAATTCTGTTAATATTCAACCGATGTTTGATATAATTACACTATTGTATAGCCGGAGACATTGCTGAGCAGATAGCAGTTCAAAACAGTCAGATTTAGAAACTATGCCATTCTTTTTTTTTTTAAGTAAAAATTTTCTAAACAATTTCTAAATTAATGTCTGAAACACACTGGAGGGTGTAGGGTATTGGACTTTGGATGCGATGGTTCATTTTGACACGGCTCTCTTTCAAGCAATCTTGACTTTATTATTCAACCATTTTTTGAGGTAATCCAAAAACAACTGCAGATAACTCTAACAATACAATGTGGAACAAGACCACCGATTATTATTCTTAATTTGGAATGGACATACTTAGATCACGGACACTCCCCCCGATGACCTGAATTAAGAAAGAAATGAATGAGACAGGTCATCACCTTTGGAATAAGTCATCTAAGAATTTATGTTGGAATATTGAGCACCTTGAATTAATGTCCTTGAACAAATCACCACAACTAGTTATAAATTATTTGGAAATATTTAACACCTTGGAACTTGATTATATTTGAACTAAAAATCCCTGGAATATTATCACTAGAAATTTACACTTGAACATAAAATCCCTTGAAACCCCACTCCTTGAAAATAATCCTTGAATGAATGTCCTTGGAGTATTAAAATGCAAACACTATGGGAATGAAAGATCCATGAAATAATCACAAAACAAATACATGGAACACTAACTTCCAACATTAACATTACTAAATTATCCACTGAATTTATGACATTAAATCCTTGATCCATTGTTTCCTCCTTCTATCAGATTCTTGAGCTGCAACTCTTCTAGGGCGCTGTGAACCAGAATTGGAAACTGGTGATTGGGATCGGAACGTTGTGGGCTGGAATCCGAAATCTGAACTACTGGATCTGGATCATCAGTAGTTGACTGTTTGCTTGAAACATCGATCACTGGATCTGAATTGTCAACATTTGATGTATTGATAACAGGATTTGTTTCAGAGTGTGACGTTTCTAGTGGATACAGCTTCTGCACGGGTCTCTGGATTATATTAATCTGACCGTTTGCCGCTCGAACCTTTAATTTAACAGCTCGTATATTTTTATCTTTGCCTGGGATTAACTCTATTACTCTACCAATTCTCCATCGACATCTTGGTAGATTTTTATACGTCCACATTCATAATGTGAACGTATTATGCCGTCGCCCCTGTCTGTGTGTGTGTGTGTATGTATGTATGTGTGTGTGTGTGTGTGTGTGTGTGTGTGTGTGTCTGTGGTTCGCCTACAGGGCGCAATTCTTCATGGATTTTCTTCAAACTTGGTATACTTATTCCTTATACCCCAAGGAAGATCCCTATTGTTTTTGGTGCATGCCCGACCCC